TAAATAAAGGCAAGAGTATAGCAGGGTGTGGTGGCACACACCTTTAATCCCAGCACTCAGGAGGCAAAAGCAGGCAGAGCGCTGTGAGTTCAAGGCCAGCCTGATCTACATATCGAGTTTTAGGCCAGCTGGGAAACCCTGTCTCAAAAAAAAAAAAAAAAAAAAAAAAAAAAAAAAGCAAAGGATACAGCAAAGGATGCAATCTATATTTTTTTAAAGGTACAGTGTAGATAGTGGCTGCTGATGTAACATGGTATGTAAGACATTGCCCTCCAAAGATCTGAGTTCTGGGGCTGGAGACATGGATCAGTGGTTAAGAGCACTGGCTGCTCTTGCAGAGAACCTGGGTTCAGTTCCCAGCACCCACATGGCAGCTAACAGCCTTCTCTAACCCCAGTGCCAGGAGATCTGACGCCCTCTTCTGACCTCCACTGGCACTGCAAGATACTGGTACATCTACCTACATGCAGGCAATACACTCATACACATAAAATATTTTTTTAAATCTGAGTTCCTATAATTTCTCTATAGAAATTTTAAAAATACTGATCTTACAGATTTAAAAGTTTAATTTAAAAAAATATGTTGAGGGGCTCAGAGGGTAGGGATACTTACCACTAAGCCTCATGACCCAAGTTCAATCCCCAGAACCTCTACAGGTTGTCTTCTTTGATATATGCACCGTGGCACATGTGCAGCACACATGCACACAAAATTGTTTTGTTTTTAAACATGGTGAGGCCAGGGAATTGTAGCTACATCTATAATCTCACCATTTAGGAGACTGAGAGAAGAGTATTGTGGGAAGCCAGCCTGGGCTACATAGTGAATTTTAGGCCAGCCAGAGCTATGTAGCAAGACCCTGTTTAAGTAAAAAAAAATAAATAAATAAGAGGACAATTAAGAAAGTACAGTGAGGGCTGGAGAGATGGCTCAAACAGTTAAGAGCACTGGCTACTCTTGCAGAGGACCCGGGTTCAATTCCCAGCACCCACATGGCACCTAACAGCCCTCTGTAACTCCAGTTTCAAGGGAATCCAATGCCTTCTTCTGACCTTTACAGGCATTGCATGACACGGGCGTACTTACACAAATGCAGGCGATACACTCATACACATAATTTTTTTTTTAAGTACAGTGAGTTCCTTGGAGCATAAAGGGGTTCGCTTTCTAGACTGGCTGTTTTATTTAGCACACTTCCGCTCAGCACTCTGTCACTTCTCCATGCTGTGTAGTCCAGTGTCTATTTTGGGTGATGCTTTTGTTTTCCTGCTAAGTAACTTAATCAGTTACTCCTTGTCAGTTTCCTAGAGGAAGTCCTGGCTTCTGGGCTGCACAGCCGAAGCAGGGAGAGCTCACAGGCCACTTCCAGGACCGCAAGCAGAAGATGAAATGCTGATAGGGAGCAGCAAGAAGGGCACGGCCTCCCTCGGACCCTGGCTGCAGGCCTTCCCTACTGACGAGAGGGTTCAGGAGGGCACCTGTGTTTACTGTAACTCACTCCAGGTAAACCCCATTCCTGAACTGTTGGCATACCAAGGCTTCCAGAGATAAGTCTGAGCCCATCCCAACCCACTTTTCCTGTGATTTCTGTGTCAAATAAATATGTTCTTTGTGTATTTGATAGCACAATCACTTCAGTGTCTGATGGGTTTTGTTGAGATCTTTCTTGAGAAAAGGGTTGTCAGAGCTGAGGAGGTTTTAAAAGCAGCATGTGGTATACATGGCACTATCCTCGACCTCGTCTTCCTTTGACTCTTCCATTAACCACCTTCCTGCACTCTGACGCCTCACCATGTTTCTTTGGAGAGCCATCCAAAAATCATGTCTGCATTGCAATTTCCTGTAACACTAAGAAACCATATATGATTACAATAAAAAGTCAATTTTTGTGGAGATATGAGTGATTTGATTTTATTTCTTTGAAGTTCATTTATGGCAATTCATAAGGTGATGGTTTCACCCAAACAATGAAGGCATGGCCTACCCAGAGCATAAAGTATGCCAAGGAAATACAAATTCTGGTCTCAGTTTTGGCTCTCTCTCGCTCTCCTTTCCCCCCTCCCCACCTCTGTCTTGGTTTTTGATCCAGGGTCCCCCTATAGCCCCCACTGGGCTAGAACTCATTATGCAGACCAGGCTGGCCTCAGTCTCACAGAGATCCACCTGCCTCTGCTTCCTGCATGCTGGGATTAAAGGCACTCCCCACTAGTCTTGACAGCAATAAAAAATGGTGGGGTCAATAATGGCAGGAATTAAGGTGTCCTCAAATAATTAGCAAAAACAACACAGCACAATCCCTCTTGGTTTTATGTAGGGTGTGTGTGTGCCTGTGCATGTATGTATGCACAGCTGCCCTTGGAGTTCAGAAAAGGACACAGAATCCCCTTGAATTTGAATTGCAGACCGTTGTGAGCTGCCTGATATGGATTCTGGGAACTGAACTCAGGTCCTCTGAAAGAGCAGCACTCTTAACAGATGAGCCATCTCTCAGCCCCTTACATTTTCTTATATGTTGACGAGTATTCTCTAGCATCAGACAGTCTACAGTCAAATTCATGTCGTATTTTCATCGCATTGGGAAGGCTGGTCTTGTGGCTCAGCTTCCTAATCTATAAAGTGAGAGTCACAATTAGTACCTTCCTTATAGATAGTGAAGATTAAATACAATGAGTAGTACATTAGTATTTACAGAGCCTTCTATTATTGCTGGCCCTTTAGTTTTTCCCTATAAAAACATTTTCATTAAGGTCATATGCTTTTAATAACCCTCTCTCCCATAGATTAGAAAGCCTGGGTCAAAACATCCATCCTACTTAGAGAAGTCAAGGATATTTGTTTTTAAATGACTAGTCAGACACTTTATCTCTACCTAGTAAATTTGCAAGCAACAATTCACAAGTTGTTACCTTTGACATTTTTTCTTTTCCCCTTAAATGGAGTTAGCTTTTTCAATTACATTTTTCAGGAGTTACTTATAAAATATTCAATTCGAGGGGCTGGAGAGATGGCTCAGCAACTAAGAACACTGTTCTTGCAGAAGATCTGGGTTCAAATCCCAGCACCCACATGGCAGCTAACCACTGTCCGTAACTTAACTCCAGTTCCAGGGGATCCGACAGTCTCTTCTGTTCTCCACGGGCACTATACCACACGGGTGCACTTACCTATATACAGGCAATACATGCATACACATAAAATAAAAATTAAAAAAAATATGTTCAATTGGAGAATAAGCTGTGGACAGTGCTGTCTCACATGTGGACGTATTTAGGAGGTAAGCCAAAGTCCTCCTAGAATCTTCTCTCCCCCAAAGAAATTGCCTCGAGTTATTTTTGTGCTTTGTGTGTACGTGGTAGCTTAAAGCTCACTGAGACAGTGCTATAAAAATGTGTAAAGGAAATCAGAAGTGCTTATCCCAATTTCTTACTTAAGCATGGGGCTTTGGGAAACAACTCCACATAGATCCAAATCCAGGTGTCAAGAGGTTCACCTGGTGAGATAAATCAGCTTTAAGAACAGACCAAGGGAAAGGCTGGCATCTGGGAAGAGTCCAAGCCAAGACAAAGTGCGACAAGGTGAGGGAAGGAGAGAAGGGTAGGATGAAGCCATTTAATAGTGCAAGTTACTTGGAGGGAGGGATGGGGGCCAGCCAGATATTTGCGTAACATCTTAAGGAGCAGACAGGCAGAGAAGGTTCTGCAGCCCACATGCATCTGCTCTAGAATCTGAAAATTACTTTGGTTGTTTTTTTATGGGTCCCTCTGCTTGCTGTTTCTCTGATGCTGTGCACAGAGAACCCAGTGCCTTGCATACAGGAAGGATTCAAGTATTTGCTGACTAAATGAAAGCTCCTGGGAAAGGAGGAAGATGAAACAAGTCATGAATTACTTCTTTCCCATAAGCCAGAATCTCTAATTCCATCTCCTCTGCAGTGCTGGTGATTAAGCTTGGGCCCTCCTGAATGCTAGGCAAAGTGCTCTACCTCTGGGCTACACCCTCAATCTCCTGAAATGATTTTAAATCAGATGGAGACAGGAGGATTCGGAGTTCAAGACCAGCCTCAACTACATAGTGATTTATATTTATTTTTATTTATTTTTGGTCTTTTTGAGACAATCTCCCTGTTGCCCCAGCTGGCCTGGAACTATGTAGACCAGGCTAGCCTTGAACTCATAGAGATACACATAAAGGCATGTGCCACCACACCCAGCCTAACTACATAGTGATTTTAAATCCAGCCTGGGCCACACAAGACTTTGTCTAAAAAAAAAAAAAATTAATGATAACTAGAAATACAAACCATCCTATCTGCCTGGCCAGCAAGTTCCCAAAGTTCCCTACAGACTACTTTCCTCACAGTGTGCTGGTACATTCTGCATCCTTACTCATTTTTTTTAACTTCATGATTGTTGCCAAAATAATTTTGTCACATAGGTAAGCAGATGTTGAGACAGGGAAGGGACTGTTTGGGAAATGTACTCAGTGTGCAAAGTCTTTAAAAGGTAGATTGGAGTCAGAAAACCTAGATTCTAATTCACATAACCAATAACTTGTGTCAATTCTAGCCAAATCATTTGATTCACCACGTCTAGCTTGCATGTTTCCCAAGTATGTTTCCCATACTCTCATTCTATGCCTCAAAAAATAGCACTAAACATTTTTTTTAATGCCACATAAGAGTATTTTGAAAGGATAAAGTTCTGAATCCATCTAAAATGGAACACTTGGGGCTGGAGAGATGGCTCAGCAGTTAAGAGTACTGGCTGTTCTTGCAGAGGACCTGGGTTCGGTTCCCAGTACCCACATGGCAGCTAACCATCAGTAACTCCAGTTCCAGGGCATCGTCTTCTGATCTCCACAGGCACTGCACAACACAGGTTGCACTTACATGCACACAGGCAATACACTTATACACATAAAATAAAAATAAAATCTAAAAATAGGACTGGAGAGATCTCAGTGGTTAACAGCACTGGCTGCTCTTGCAGAAGACCCGAGTTTGATTCCCAGCACCCACATAACAGCTACCAACCATCTGTAACTCCAGTTCCAGGAGAATCTGACACTCTCTTCTGACATTTGCCAGCATTGCACAACATGGGTGCACTTACATGCAGGCAATACACTCATACACATAAAACTTATTTTTTGGTGTTTTTGAGACAAGGTCTCCCTGGAGCCCCAGCTGGCCTGGGACTCACTGTGTAGGCCAGGCTACCCTGCTTCTGCCTCCCAAGTGCTAGGATTAAAGGTATGTGCCACCACGCCCGGCCCAAAATAATATTTTTTAATTTTTTATTGTTTTTATTTTATGTATGAGTGTATTGCCTGTATGTAGGTAAGTGCATCTGTGTCGTGCAATGCCCAAGGAGGCCAGAAGAGGCTGTCAGATCCCCTAGAACCGGAGTTAACAGACAGTTGTTAGCTGCCATGTGGGTGCTGGGATTCGAACCCGGGTCTTCTGCAAGAACAGTCAATGTTCTTAATCACTGAGCCATCTCTCTAGCCCCCAAAATAGTATTTTTTTAAATAAAATGGAGGGCTTCATTCATTCATGACTAATGAGAGGTTGAGAAAAAATATTAGAGGATTAAGGGAAGAGTAGGGGCTGAGAAGGGGTGTCCTTCCTTGACACCAGACCATCTTCCACTCTTCAAGCCACAAATGTACCCATTACTTTATCTTGGGACATCTCTGGGAAAAGATGTTTTTCCTGCTCTGTGCCAGGGATCTTTACTCATTACTTGGTATTGCATCCACTGAGTGCCTGGTAATGTTTACTAGCTTGTTATTGTCTCATGATTAGTCCTAGAGGACAATACTCTTGTCTTCAAAGGATTCTCATAAGTCCCCTAACTTTCCTTGTAGAAATGGCCATTTACTACGTGGAGAAACAGAAACTTAAGAGATTCATGGCTCAGCGGTTAAGAACACTGGTTGTTCTTGCAGAAGACCCGGGTTCGAGAATTCCAGCACCCACATGGCAGCTAACAACTGTCCGTAACTCCAGTACCAGGGGATTCGACAGGGGCTCTTCTGACCTCTGCAGGCATTGCAGGACACGGATGCACTTACCTACATGCAAGCAATACACACATACACATAAAAATATAAATAAAATTCTGGACTGGAGAGATGGCTCAGCAGATAAGAACACTGGCTGTTCTTGCAGAAGACCCAGGTTCGAATCCCAGCACCCACATGGCAGCTAACAACTGTCCATAACTCCAGTTCCAGGGGATCCGACAGGCTCTTATGTCCTCCTCAGGCATTGCATGACATGGGGCACTTACCTACATGCAGGCAATACACACATGCACATAATAATAAAATATTAAAATATATATAATTTTTTTTTAAAAATTCATTCAATGGCTTGAACCAAAGGCCACAGAATGGTGACAAAACCACTCCTCAAACTTGGGCTTCCCCATTCCCTTCTTCCCAATCCTATATGCACTAAAACACACTAAGTTATTAAGATATGTCCTATGGGCTCTGAGATAGATGTGGGTTGGAGGGATCCGTGGGTTGCAGTCATGGCATCCTCTGGACTCTGAGGACATTGCAGGATGTTTACAGGGCAGCTCGGCAAGGAGAGATACCCAGGAAGTTGAAGCCCCTGGTATCATGACTTTGGAGCGACTAGCGGTTCTGTCAGCACCCTTGTGTGCGCAGATCACTCAGCTTCCCGAATCACACTTGGGAAATGGAGCTAGACCCCCCCCCCCTCATTCTTGCAGTTTCTCCAGTGCCTCTAAGGCCTGAAGCCTTGTACGCGGGAAGAGAGAGGCGTATTAACAGCAACTTCTCTCCCACTCCATCCCTACACAACACCCGGGGAAGCACAGAACTTTTCTCCAGCACCTGGCCTGCCCAGACCACTCACACCCCGGGGAGCACTGCGCCCTTGCCAGCCCCAGACGCCGCCCTCCCTGCGGGGAGGGGGTGGGGGGACACGCTCCGGGTGATCTCCGGGGTCCCGAACCGCCGCGTCCGTCAGTTATCCGCGTGGGCCTGTCCTGGGCGCCTCGCCAGGTCCGGCCGGTCCGCGTGGGCCGCCGCTCCTCAGGCTGGGCCGCCACGGAGCCCAGGTCTCGGCTGGGCTAGGGCTAGCTCCGTTGCCCGCCGTGAGTCAGAAACAAAGGCGGGGGGCGGGGAGCACCGGCTGCGGCTCCGCGATTCGCCCTTTATTCTGAACTCGTAACGTCAGCGAGCCGCGGACGGCGCGCCGGGGCGCGGGCTGGGCCGTCCACCGCGCGGGCCGGGGGAGCTGGGCGGGCGAAAAAAAACGGGGGTAGCACGAGCTACAAAGGGGGGCGTCCCGGTGCGCGAGCGAGCGGGGAGCGTGGCCGGTGCCCCGCCGCCAGCCTCGCGGGTCGGCAGCCCCTGCACGCGGCCTGGGCCCCGCGCCCGCCCGGAGCCATGAAGAAGAACCATCCTAGCAAGCGGGTGAGTGCGGGCGCGGCGCCCGTCCCTGCTGAGGGCTGCGGGCGGCCCCGGCCCCGCCTCGGGGCTTTTGTCTCCCGGCGCGCCGGGCTTCAACTTGGCTTAGTTTCTGCGCGACCCACACCCTCCGCCTCCCCTGGGGCCGCTGGGGCCGACGGGGAGACAATGAGAGATAAATGAGACGAAATGCGGTTAGTCCCCGCAGCACGGCGGGGGAGGGGCGGGACCCCGGAGCCCCGAGGCCCCCAGTCCCTCCCGGCCCGCCGCGCCGCTTGTGTATTAGGGGGAGAGGAAGGGGAGTGCGTTCCCGCGAGTGGAAGCGGGTCCCGAAGTGGCCAGCGAACCGTGGGGGACCTTGGGGTCCCTGACTCCATCCTCCCGAAGCCTCACCCGAGCAGGACGGCGGAAACCGAACCAGCTCCCATCACCTAATCGGCTGCTTCTTATCTTGCCCCCTTGGGCAGGGGCCCCAGGATGGAAATCATCAATCTGCGGCACCCGAGAAGGTCGGCTGGGTCCGGAAATTCTGCGGGAAAGGGATTTTCAGGGAGATTTGGAAAAACCGCTATGTGGTGCTGAAAGGAGACCAGCTCTACGTTTCTGAGAAGGAGGTAGGCGCCCATAACCTTCCCTATTTTCCCATATCTTCCACTCTGTCTCTAGTTTTCCTACTTGCCCTGCCTCCATTAGTTCAGTGGTCTCTATCAACCCCGTCTTATCTGTAGAGGAAAGTCACCCTTTAGTGATTCAACCTGATTAAGAATTAGAAGTTTGCTTCTTTTTTAATGTTTTGCCTTTTCAGACACCTTTCTGACAATGAGAGTCCACTCCCAGTTTGTCTCAGAAGTTCTGCCTGTCCCTGCTGCCTCCTTGCCCTGTTTCACCCTCCTGAAATACAGGATATTTTTTTCTTTGCTCTTGCTGCTGAACACAGATCAACGTGTTGCTCACCCCTGCCTGTCTCCCCAGCCCAGCCACCCCTTTCCTGTCTGTAGCCCCCATAGAACCCAGAGTCCGTCTCTGGGACCTAGAGTGGAGAACCGTGAATGCCAGATAGTTACTTTTGTTGGAGCCAAGTGTCCCGAACCAGGCCTCTGTCCCCCATGTTCCACATAACAAGAAAAAGAAAAGGTCAAGGAACTCATATTCTGGCCACCATTATCTTTATAGATGTGGAGAAATGGAGTTATGAGCACCTGTCTCTGCATAGCTTTGGCTCTGTAGTTAAGCATGAAGCTGTAGTCCTTGTTGGGTCAAAATCTAAGCCCAGATCATTGAATCCAGACTCCTTTCCCTTTTGTGAAACCATAACTCTTAAGTCAATAACAGTAATACTGAGCAATTGAAATTGCTTCTCTGTGGCTGTCTGCAGAGCTTGGTAGACTGTCCTGTGTTCCCCTTAGAATGGCCCTTCCTCCCCTGATTCTGTGTTCCCGCACCCAGTACTGGGAAGTCCTCTCTGAGTTCTGACTTCTTCTGCTTTCAGTAGTAGACATTTGTATTCAGTAGATCCTATTTAGGTAAATAAATCCTTTTATGGTATTGAAACAGACACATTTGCAGTCCAAGAGAAGTACTTATCTGAAAACTGTCTACTAAGTGGGGAAGAAGTGAACAGTGCCAGAGCTGAAAGGCCTCTTGAAGGTGTCCAGCCCTAGCTGACCACACTAGTGAGGAACTAACTTGCTGATGGAGAGTCTCAGGAGTGAGCTGAGGTAGACTTGACAAGAACATTTCCTCTCAAGGGTCACTTCTACCTAGTCACATTCTGCAGTCTTCTCCACAATTTTTTGGCTTTTTGGTTTTGCACTGTTTATTTTTAAAAAAAGCAGTAGCAAGTGTCAAAAGTGTATCTCCTGATTTCCCCGAACTTCATAATGGCAGGAAACTCTAGTGAGCAATCAGGAAGAACTTCCTACACGTCAGAGAGAAAACAAGAGAACAGTGAAAGAATAAAAGAAGACTTTTTTTTCCTGTTTGTCTAAAAGGCAGAATCTGGGGGCAGAAGTGCATGCTTAAGCCTTGCGTGTGAAGGAGGAGATACGGAGTTAGGATAGAGTGACCTCAGCCTAGAATGTCTGATGTCCTCAGAGTCAGGAGCATCTGACTATTCCTAGGGCCAGGTACCCCTTGGTGGGAAGAGCATTGGAAAAAAGGGAAGAGTATATTGCTTCCACTCTTCTTCAAAACCAGTTTCCATGCTCCAGTGGGCCTGGGCCAAAGGCAAAGCTGCCAAAGAATTAAGAAAAATAAAATCATAGTATATTTGTCATTTACATGATGATGAAAAAAATAATCCTAACTTTACCATAGTTTTCATCAGTCACTTTGGTTATTTCTGCTTGGAAAAGCAAGGTCTCCCCCAACTACCTCCATATTTGTTGTGAATCATTTTCTCATTCTCCAGGGGCACCTGTTCTCAGAGCAGGGGTACCCTCCTTATCAAGGGCTAAACTAGGAACAGATCCAGTCTTAGGGTAACTTCATAGTAGAGGAAGTTGAGCTCAGGGTAATACTTAGTAAGCTTATGGGCATGGAAAGGGTTAATTTGAAAGCTATAGCTATAAAAGAGCCTGGGAATTGGAGGTAAAGAAGATTCCAGGAGTGAACCAGGCTCCCAGGTGTGTCTGTCTTTTCTGGAATATATTTTGCTGCCAGCCTTACCCCGTCTCCTACTACTACCCTTCCTTATTCTGTCAGTATCTCCTGCTCCCAGAGCTGCTTATCAGCCTGTGTCCAAGCCAGAAGAGCTCCCTTCCCTCTCCCTCAGGAAAACAGAACAAGTGACTCTTTTTCCCCTGGCTACACACACACCCAGTACTTTCCTCTCCAAGGTTTCTGGCCTCTGCAGATAGTTTCTCTGGGGAAGGAGCTGGAGAGGAGGTTGTGATGCATCATCCTGCATCCCCAGCCCTGTATTTCTGGGAATTGTTCTTGAATGCCCCTTGTAGCACCTTGTCCCATGTCCACCCATAATGTCCAAGGCCTCTGATTACTTCCCAGCTAAAAGCCAGGGAGCCCTGGAAAGGAGAGCGCCCTGGAGAGCTAAACCTGGCCAGGCAAACAGAGATCTTAATGTGCCCTTACTCTCCCACAGCACATGTGATTGTCTGATCACAGCCATGTCCGACAGCAGGGCAAGAGGCTGGGTAAATAGAAGGCTACAGGCCAGTAGATGTCCGCCAAGGAAAACATGGGGGCTACTTTTACATGTTTGCTTCATTTGACTTTTATCCTGGGAAACATGACCAACTCATTCTGGGGTATTCCCAACCAAGTAGAAGAGGGTGGACAGGCTGCTACCTGGGATAAGTCTCTATATACATTAGAGGAGGAGACAGGTAGGGGCCAGAAAGCTATTATAAACCATAGCAGTCCCTGCAGCCTAAGGCAGCTCTCAATTCACCCCAGATGCTGGCTGCCCATATCTCCTTTCTCTGGACTATCAGTGGCCTCTCCGGTCTTCCTTACTTGGAAGTGATCAGATCAGCCTATTCATCATGTCCCTTTAAGGACATGGGCCTCCGAGGACTTGTAAACTGTGTCCTTCAGAATCAGACTAAGAGTCATAGGTGCAGAGAAATGGTAGCTTAGCTAAGGATAGCAGGGTATGAATTTAAACAGAACCCCTCACCAGGACTCCAGTCTTGGAGGTACCCCAGTCCTGTCCCGAGGTCAAGGTGCTGTACCTCTTGGATGGACTGGCCCTTTCCTGGTCTGTCATCCTTCCCTTTCCCCAGGCTTTTTCTGGATCCCAAGACTGTTCTAAAGTAACAGTTGGGGAGAAGAAGCAAAGTAATTTTATCCTCATCGCACCCCCAAACCTCCCCTAGGTAAAAGATGAGAAAAATATTCAAGAGGTGTTTGACCTGAGTGACTATGAGAAGTGTGAAGAGCTCCGGAAATCCAAGAGCAGGAGCAAGAAAAATCATAGCAAGTTTACTCTCGCCCACTCCAAACAGCCGGGCAACACGGTAGGTCTCTCTCACCACCTGGCCACTGGAGCCTGGAGCACAGCATAGGTGGCGCGGTAGTGGGAGGGAGAGCGTCCCCTTCACGCTCTCCCTCTTAGCAGTCTTGCCTCTGAGCCTCTCAGTTGCTCTCCCACTGGCTTCTGTCATTTAACTGGAGAATAATCTGGCCATTTCCTTCCCTCCAGGCAGGCCAGGCTTTAACCCATTGAGCCACACATACACATATTTCTCTTAGAAGAAAAATCACCAGTCCTTGTGCCCTGATGGGTGGTTAAAGTTCTGAATCTAAGTCTTCTTGAGGGAGGGAACCAAGGGAAGCCATGCCTGTCACATTCTGTCTCCTCAAACATTTTTTTGTTTGGTTTTGTTTGAGCCTGGGTTTCACTATACAGCCCTGGCCGGCCTGACTGGAACTTACAATGTAGGCCAGGCTGGCCTTGAACTCTCAGAGATCCTCTTGCCTCTAGCTCCCATGTGCTGGGATTCAAGGCATGTGCCACCAGGCCTGACTCTGCCTCTTCAAACATTTAAAGATCTTTAGTACCTAAGCTTTATCACACCTCGTCCAATTATCTCCAGTACCACATTCATGTCCAATACCTTTCTTACCTCTTCCTTGCTCTTTTCTAAAACAACCTCTGTATTTTGCAGGAATAGAATTTGGGTTTCTTTGAGTTATAGGTGACTCTAGAAGCACAGCCTCCTTCCAGGAGCTGGATCTGAGGCAATGAGATTATAATTTATTTCTTCACCGTCACCGTGAAACCTAAAACCCTGACTAAAACGAATCTTCCCATTACAGGCACCCAACCTGATCTTCCTGGCAGTGAGTCCTGAAGAGAAGGAGTCATGGATCAACGCCCTCAGCTCTGCCATCACCAGAGCCAAGAACCGCATCCTGGATGAGGTCAGGGGACGCACTGTGGGGAAGGGGATGCTGGACACAGAACGAGCATCTGTGACTCACTAAAGGAGGGTTGTTATGTGGGGTCCCACTTAAATGCCCTCCTCCAGCTCTGCTTTCTCCCTTTTTTGAAAACGCTCTTCTACTATCTTCTCTATCAAATCTCTTTTGCCAATTCCTCCTCCTGTACTTCATGAGGCATGAGCCAGCCTTGGGTCAGCTGAAGGAGTCCAGTTATGTCTGTAAATCCCTCTGCTTGTAGCCCTGCTCAGAACTAGCTCATGGGCAGGGAGGCTAATTTCCCAGTCCAGCATGTTTGGGCCTTGGGGGATGCTTGGTTGGGACAGAGTCCTAAAGAAAACCTGTGGCTCACAGTGCATCTCTTCAGGTCACCGTTGAGGAGGACAGTTATCTTGCCCACCCTACCCGAGACAGGGCAAAAATCCAACACTCCCGCCGCCCCCCAACTCGAGGACACCTCATGGCTGTGGTATGTAAAACTGTAACAAAGTAAATGGCCAAGTCTCTGTCATGTGTCATTCCATCTTAGAGCTGAATACAGCCAGAAATATTTGTGTGGGGGGTTGGAGTGTCTTCCTGATATTAAGATCAAAGACTAAGGAGGTCCCTCTATACCACGTCCCTGCCTAATTCCTCTAAATCAAAAATACTTAGTAACTACCATGAGTAAGATGTCTCTGTTCTCAACAATTTTGGGGGAGGAAATAAGAAATACCCTAGGAAAGTAAAAAACAGAAGTGTTAAATCCAGAATGGCACAAGTCCTATGTGATGGCTAGCTACCCTGATGGGCCAAAGGTGCTTCAGAGGCGGGATCACAGCAAACCCTCTACTCTCTGAAGTAGTAGATTCTTTCATTTATCTGAGCCCTAAGTCTGCAGGAGAAAGAACATAGGCCCTGGAGTTAGAAAACCCAAGTTGGAACCTGGTTCCCTGAAGCTGCGTGTCTGTAAATGGGGCAGTGATCGCTCCTAATTAGGGGTTGCTGTACAAAATGATTAAAATAATGCCCAACAGCACATGAGTGTTGAATACCCTTCCTTGTTAAAGTACTTTAGAAATAAGAGGTTTATTATAAGGCAAGAGGTTCAGAGTTCAAGTAGCAGAGCAGTTAAGGTATATGGCTGAGGGCACAATAGAGGAGAATGACTACTGTGACAGATGGGCCATCCTGTGTATGCCCAGCCCTGTGCCATGTCTGAGTCCATCATACAGAGGAAATATACACTTCTCAGGAACCTTGTAGCAGAGTAGAGAATATGAGAAATTGCCTTAAGCTACAGAATAATGAAGAAGTTCAAATCACCATCAAAGGAGTCAGCAAGTAAAGCAGAAGGGCTGTCAGGAGTGGAGGGGTCTCCAAGGAAGGCATTGAGGACCAGACTTGCCTCCATCTTTCCTGGGACACTGAGAGTTCACTGCCTTCTTTCCCATCCCCTTCCTTCCCAGGCTTCCACCTCTACCTCAGATGGGATGTTAACCTTGGACCTGATCCAAGAAGAAGACCCTTCCCCTGAGGAACCATCTTCTTGTGCTGAGAGCTTTCGGGTGGACCTGGACAAGTCTGTGGCCCAGCTGGCCAGCAGTCGACGGAGAGCAGACTCAGACCGGATCCAGCCCTCTTCACACCGGGCAAGCAGCCTTTCTCAACCTTGGGAAAAGCCAGACAAGGGGGCCACCTACACCCCTCAAGCACCCAAGAAGTTGACCCCTACAGAGAAAGGCCGCTGTGCCTCCCTGGAGGAAATCCTTTCTCAGCGAGACTCTGCCCCATCCCTCCCACTCCAGCTTCGGGCTGAGGAGTCCCCAGCCCCCATCCCCAAATACCCAGGGCAGCTGTCCCGGATCCAGGACCTGGTAGCGAGGAAACTGGAGAAGACTCAGGAGCTGCTGGCAGAGGTTCAGGGACTGGGAGATGGCAAGCGAAAGGCCAAGGACCCCCCGCAGTCTCCACCCAATTCTGAGTCAGAGCAGCTGCTGCTGGAGACCGAGCGGCTGCTGGGAGAGGCCTCCTCAAACTGGAGCCAGGCAAAGAGGGTGCTGCAGGAGGTCAGGGAGCTGAGGGACCTGTACAGACAGATGGACCTGCAGACCCCCGACTCTCACCTCAGACAGAGCTCCCAGCACAGTCAGTACCGGAAGAGCCTGATGTAAAGAGGGGACAGGTCTGGAACTTTGGGGGACACACAGACTCTTTATTGCCACATGTTGCAGGATTAAGCTTTTTTATTTACCTCATTCAAAAAAAAAAAAAAGAAAGAAAAGAAAACAAACTCATTGCTCTGGCTGATGCCTGACACCCCACGGCCTTCCCCTATATTCTTTCCCTCCTTAGCTCCCTTGTCAGACTGGAGAAGGTGAGCCCCGTAGCAGAAATAAGGAGCTTTCACCTGAACGAAGTAATAAAGACACAGTCTGCTCATTGTACACATGCCACCTGCCTCCCAGACCTAAGGAGAACCACCATAGGCATGCCTGGACATCTAGGTTTAGAGCGGCCTGGGCAAGAGGTTTTCTCAGATGTCCCATTCCAGGTTTTCATGCTGAGGGTGAAATTTCAGCTGTGCAGCTCTAGTTCTAGGGACCCGGGGGCCAGCACCACCTGTCCATGCCATAGGAGAAGTGAAATTTACCCCAGACTTGAGAAGGATATGTGGAATTAAAAGCTCCCTGGCCTGATACTGGCTTCTCCCCATGATGTTGGTCTCTGACTACAATTGGATGCCTTGGGCTGAGGTTCTATAGCTCAGTGGTAGGGTGCTGACCCTACTACTGAGAAACACTGTGAGACACTGGTATACTGGTTCTATACTGAAAAAGACTGATCTGCCTCAGTTTTATCTGAAGTGCTTTCTTCACCTCATACCCTTCTCACCACGGATTCAAAAGTAATAAGCTTGAATATATGGGACTGGGTTGGTCATTGGGGCAGAATAGGGCAGCCAGCATAGGAACTGGGAACAGCTGACCCTGTGGAAGAAATGAACTAAGAATGAAACTGATTTGTGATGAGGCTGTGTCCAACTTCCCCTTTTGGCCAAGTGAGAGTTTCTTCTTCCCCTCCACCTCCTTGCTCAAACCTACCAACCCGGACAGTACAGCTTCAGGAAAACAGTTCTGCCCACACCACCACCCCGCCTGCCTGCCTGCCGTGGAGTCACCAGGCTTCATGGCAGTCTTGTGTGGTAGATTCCCCCACAGCTCATTTTCTGAGATCAAATTTAATAATGATCATAAGGTCCAGAGTAGGGAAGGCAAGCTCTGAATGATTGAGGAGATGAAAGGGACATGAAGCCTCTTAATCAAGCAACTAGGTTAAAAATAAAGTGGGAACTTCCCTTGGGAAGTTCCTGATCTTCCTTAGACCTGACCCCCAGGAGCCAAATCCCAGAACTTCACTGGGGTTAAGAGAGGAGCAGGGGAGAGCAGGCTGTCCTAGTAATTGGAGATGGGGTGGGGAGAAGAAAATATTTGGGGAGAAATCTTAATTTCCTCTCTGCTGTGATGTTCTGCCACCATATAAACAAGAATAGGGAGTCTCTCCACGTTCAACTGTCTCCAGGAAAAGGATTCTGGGGTTTCAGGTATCATGGGTGCTGGGGACTCACACCAGGTCCTCACTCTTGCACAGCACACCCTCTTACCCACTGAGCCATCTCCCCAGCCTGCTTTCAGAAAAGCGGCTCTTGCTCTCCTGCCTCTCACTGCCAACGGTTTTCCCCAGATCTAGCCTGTAAGTCATCTAGGAACAAGTATCCTACTTGAGCCAGGAAGGTGCATAAGAATGACACTTTACTAAGGAACTAGGCTTCCTGTCCCCTCAGAGGTCACTTTCCACATCTCTAAATCTGGTCCTCAGAGCCACCCCTTTCCACAAAGACTGAAAGTGGAGTTAAAATTACACTTTTTAATGTGTCTCTATCTTCATTTTATCAGCATTTCCCTTTTTTTCTTGTTGCTCCCTCATGGAGAAAAAGACAAAACAAGATTGGCATGTGTCCCAACATGCCAGTCATCTGTGGTACCCCGGGGAAAGCAAAAGTTAGAGGCAGACACTGGAACAGAGCATGATGGGTGGAGAAGCAGAAAAAGGTTCAGGGACCTCCCAAGACCAGAACTAGGCACCGGAAGTCTGATACCAAGCCCAAGCTTTGAGTCCTCCAGCAACTGCTCCAGTGTCAGGCTCTACCGTGGTAAAATGAGCCTGGTTTAAAACCAGACAGGTCTGGATTCAAGGTCTGACTGCCACTTTCAGGTTAAGAGACTTGGGCAAAGCTTGCTGTGTGTCCATTTTGTCCTCTGCAAACTACAGAATTAATGAATGGGTAAAGACAGCCTATGGACTACGCTTGTCAGTCCATCAATGACTGACAATGCTGCTATTACTAGTTTGCCATAGCAGCAATGAACAGCACACAGGTGGCCAGAGGCCAGTTTGAATGAGGGCTTAGGGCACAGGGCTAATCACTGTTCTAGTTGGCATACTTGATTGGGCCCCAGCCATGCCCATCCCTCTCTTCACAGGTGGGTGTGCGAGGTATCTCCAAGCTCTGCGCTTTTCTTAAATTCCTGGTATTCCAAGAATGCCACAGCTTAACACAAAACTGGGCTTCATACTAGAAAAACAGCCTGAATTCTAGACTGCTGGTAGGCTACCAGCAATATTTCTGATCGTGTAAAGTATGTTTTGGGACATAGCCACCGTGACAGGATCATAACATATTCCTCTAGTTTCGCCTCCTTCTGGCCCCTCTTCCTCCATCACTCCAACTCTACTCTTTCCGCTTCACTGTGTTTTGTGGTAAGGGGTGGACCGAGCAGAGGGGAAAAGCACTCTGTGGCTGCATGGGGATGTCTTTTCACCTTACAATGCTGCTGTCAGACATCTTTCAGGATGTTTATACTCTTCCTCCCTTCTCTTCTTTGCAGCGGCTGTGCTACATCTTTCCCAAATGTACTGGAAAAGGGAAGCTCCTTCGGGAGGCCCCAGGATGGGTGGAGGGGGAAATCCAGGACAGAGTGGAAGTGAGGGGAGGGGGTAGAGACAGGTAAATTTGAGAAGCAGATGCTTAATTCATATTTCAATGACATTCTATGCAGCTTTTCCTGTTCCTCTCCATAAACTGTTTGGGAAGGTTTGGGGGAGTAGATCAAGGTACAGTCCTGATCTTTCTCCATTAAGAAGAATGTCTGAGCTGTTGGCCTGGAAAGCTAATGAGTTCATTTGCATGCAATTTCCACAGCATAACTGTAAGTTGTATAGGATGAAAAGAAAGGGTTTCTCTGGTCCCCCTCCCCATTGCTCCAGCCCTCGCAAACTCTTCACTTAACCTAGAGCTATGACCTTAGAGAAGTAACCCTTGCCCCATCCCTTACCCACTCCCAGTCCTCTGCCAATGTAAGTGTACCCCCTTCTCCCAAAGAATCTATCTCAGCCTCCTGGGCAGGCAGACCCAACCCCCTTCTGCAACCCTGGAGGCCTGGCTACCACACCCCCCTTCTCACTCCCTCCCTTAAGCAGGATTCATTTCTTTTTCTGCTTTCCTCCTACCTCCCAGTCTCCCAAACACCGCAGCCAATCCCCAGCCTGCTCTAGAGCCACACCATATATGGAGAGGTTGGAAGGAAACCCAAGTAAAAGCGGGAGAAACACACACACACACACACACACACACACACACACACACGCCAGAGTTTGAGCGCCTTTCTGCACTTGACTCTGTGTGTACCACTTGAGTCCCACTGTGCCTGTCCCTGGTTCACCCCGCCCACAGAATGAGGACCGTGTTTGCTCTTTCCCACCTTTATTCATGCCCCAGGAGACCATCACTCCAACTGGTTGCTTCTGACCTAGATTCCCTGCACTAATTACAAGACTAACTAGATCTAACAAACACCCAGCTTAGCACAGCTGAGACCCTCGAGGTCAATTAGTGCAGTCCAGCCCCACTCGGGAAATGAGAGATGGAGTCAGAAAGCTGTGCACACGCCTCTGCCCAACCCCACCACTAGCAAGGTTGTGTTGAATCAGGGAGAGGTGGGGAGAATGCAAAACATAGCAGGACCCATTGAAAAATAGGATCTTGGAAGATTAGCCAGTGTGGGGAGAAGTACATTAAGGTTGGGGAACAGTTGGAAAATTACAGATTCCAAGGCATGAATAGTGGAGCATTAGAAGGTGGAGGCAGGAGGATGGCAAATTCAAGGTAAACCTGGACTACTACAGAGAGTTACTGATTTCTAGCTCCTAACCCACCGGCACAGAGGCTGGTGCAGCTGCAGACACAATGATCACAGGCAGTTTCCATGAAGACAGGAAGACCTGTAACTCAGAAAAGTAGCCCTGGAACCTGATCTATGGCATGGTCCCAACAGTAATCCCTGGGCATCCCCCTCTCTGCATCCACCTTGGACAGCAGTTACCTCTACCTGTCATCCCTGGTTTGGGATAGCTCAGAACTTACCCCTTTCCTTCAGAAATGCTATACTTAATAACATTCTTGCTTTTTATTCTTCAAAAAAATTAATTTATATTTTCCTTTGTGTTTTGCCTGCATATAAGCACACCACGTATGTGCAGTTGCCCACAGAGGCCAGAAGAGGGCATTGAATCCCCTGAAACTAGAGTTTCTGCTGGTTGTTATTTGCCATGTGGGTGCTGGGACCCAAACTCAGATCCTAGAGCACCTGCTACTCCTGCAGAGGATCCAAGTTCAGTTCCCACCACATAGCAAATAACATTCAGTAACTCCAGTTCCAGGGGATCCCATGCCCTCCTCTGGCCTCCACAAGCACTGCACACACGTGGTGCAGGCAAAACACTCATACACACAAAAGAAAAATAAATGAATATTTCTAAAGATAGTAAAACTATGAGAGCAAAAGCCCCTTGTGCTTGGCGGTAGGTTAGTGTCCTCACTTCCGGCCTTATACGTGTGGCTCTATGCACTAATCACTTTGAGGGTCTCAGCTGTGCTAGGCTGGGTGTTTGTGCAGTCGGGAAGGGAAAAGAAAGAACTAAAGGAATGTGTGTACAAGTGGAGAAGCATGCTAAGAGCTCACCTCCCCCAACTTCCACCAGCTGGGGCCCACAGAGGACAGCACTCTGTAACACCCTAATTCATGTAGGAACTAGGAAATCACATAGGCACCCTGACTAAGGTTGATGAGTCCCAAATATATTGCTCCAGCCTAACCCCACTTCCCCATCAAGACCCTAATAACCAAGTGCCTATCTGACTTCTCTACGTGGATTACTGACAGGCATCTTAAATCGGCTTTAAATGTATCAGTCATTGAATAAGGCCCTCAATCAGCCTCCCTCCACACGCCTTTACAATGTTGGTTCAATGCTCGTTCCATTCGAGAGGTACCATCTGTAACTCCCAGTTCCAGGGGATCTGACATCTACTTCTGGCCTCCACAGGTTTGCATTCATGGGTGCACTTACATACATGCAGGCAACACACTTGTGCACATAAAATAAAAATAAATATTTTTTTTAAATGTGAGGCTCTGCCGGGTGTGGTGGCACATGCCTTTAATCCCAGGACTCGGGAGGCAGAGGCAGGAGGATCTCTGTGAGTTCAAGGTCAGCCTGGTCTACATAGTGAGTTCCAGGACAGCTGAGGCTATAGGAAGACCCTGTCTCAAAAAGGCCAAAAACCCAACAACAACAAAA